GATGTAGGTATGAGGCCCATTCCCAGAGAAAGCATTCTTTGGGAATAGGCTAACACGTTGGTAGGAGTCAATGAACACATGCTCTGCTTCTAGAAATTGATCGACTTGAGAAAATTTTAATTTGCCTTCTGGTTTCACTGATAACATGTTTTAATAACATAAAACAATTTGATCTCAAATGGGGAAGCACGAGATTATTCTGAGAAAAAAAATCAAACTTGTGAGCAAGATTATTTGATAACAGGTTGCTAATAAAGATGACATACTTGCTGAGTTTATTTTACTTGAAAGATTTTCCAAATTTTTGAATGGGAAAGATACAGTTGGGTAAACTTAAGGAAGTTTGAAGTGTCAGCATGGGAGCAAGCTGGGGATATACCCATTTGGTTTGTGGGGTGTGTATGGCTTTACAGCTGGGGGCTCAGTCTGATAACGCTAAGATCATTGCCTGTGATAGACAATGACTCAACAGGGAGGCCACATGAGTGAGAATGTGTTTTCAAGGGGTCTCTGGTGCCCAAATGCTTGGCATTTGTGACATCTGCCTTCCCTGTGAGCCAAGCTGTGTAAATAATTCCTGATTGCTTAGAATTAGTTTCACATTATCGAGGGATGGATCACATGGCTGAGAGGGAGGCGTACTTGTGCTTAAGTTCCAGCATGGCCACTATTCGAGTATCTCTGCCTTCTCTCCTACGATTTTGCTCCTTGCACAAGGCACATAACCTTTGTGAGCCTTTGTTTTGCCACTTATTAAACAGAAATAATGAATAATGAATGAGTAAAATTCATACGGCATGTGTGTAACCGCCAATGAGTTGTTTTAATTACATATGCTTTCTAAACATTATATAATGTATGCATAAGACATAATTAAATAATGACTTATAATGATGATACTGCTACTAATTATTATTGTGACAATGTCTAGGAAAATAATGATTAATTTACTCTCTTCTTTTTTGTGAACCAGAGGTTAGAGAGAAAAGATTGTCTTTAAGGAACAGACCCCCAAACAGGTCATCACAATCTAAAAAGGGATAGCCACAATAGGTTTGTATGGGAGGCAGAGGAGTCCGTGCAGTGGCTTAGGGCAGTTGACTGTGGAGTTCCCCATGGGTGCTGTCATTAAGGAGAGTTTCTCAGACCTATTGCTCTGTACAGACAGATGACGGCTTTTGTTGTTACTTCTTTAGGGAGTGTGCATGTAAGTGATATGGTGAGCAAACACCAGCCCTAGGGAGAAGAAACAATTTGGGGCAGAAAAATGAAGGATCAGGTCATCTGAAGCAGGGTATATTTTATGCCAACACATGGATGGCTTGTGATTTCTTTAAATGTATATCCTGTCATAATCCTTCCTTCTCCAACAGGGAACAGGGAAAAAGAGAGGCTGTCCCATGTACAAAATGCAGCGTGTCCTCACATGGGCATACCATGTAGGACATTTTTATAAAAGAAAAGAAAAGACAATTCCAAGTAAAACCATAAAACTGGAGTGAAACCACAGAGCCCAGTGACTCAATATCCTAAGACTATTAGAGATTTTAATAACCTGAAGTTATTAGATAGCATACACCTCTGGGGGTTGTTGCATTTATGTAAGAGGCAGCTCCTGCACTTAGGTAGAGCGAGGGTAGGATGTGGCGATGCATGTGTTTGCATGTGCAACAGTTGAGGCCCAGGAAAACCACAGCAACACTGTGCACTTTTATAGCCTGATTCAAAAGAGAAGATGGAATATTTTAAATGTCGCTTCTTTTTAAATTTAGTTCTTGCGATGTGACACTACTTTAAATGGAAAAGAAAAAAGCCCTTGAACCTTTCAGTTTTCCCTTGTATTTAATTTTTTCACTACCGCTGTACCGTTAATACTTAACTTATGCCTTTACTCTTTACAAAGCCATCAGTAGAGATGGTGACAGACTATTTGACCATCTCTGCCTTCTCTCTCATGTTTCTCTTCAATTCTCCGAAGGCAGGAGATCTGACTGGGCCACATATCCTAAAAGTTTATCACTATCTATTAAAGCTTCCTCTTGTTCCCCCTGGGAGGTCATCAGCCCTTTTTTTTTTTTTTTTTTTTTTTTAAGAATTATTTATTTAGGAAGGTGAAAAAAAAAAAACAAAAACAAAAAAACACCACAATTATTTATTTAGGGGCCAGCAGGTGGCATAGTGGTTAAGGTGCTGGACTCTCACATGGTTGACCATGGTTTGAGTTCCAGACCCAGTGGCTTAAAACTCATGCCAGGTGCATGTGTGTGCATGCCCAAAATCCTGAGAGGAGAAGGGAGGAGAAGGGACTGTAGTGTGGCCATCCCCTCTGGGGGTGTGGGGGGTGGTGATTTCTTGCTTTCTGTCTCTCTGGCAAGAGTATGCACCCTATAGCAAAAATCTCTCAAAAATAATATATTTCATTGTATTTGTTATTATTTTAATTTGCTATAGGGTACATGCACATGTGCGAGAGAGAGAGAGAGAGAGAGAGCTACCAGGTCTGGGACTCGAACCGCAATTGGCATTGTAGGAGTCCAGCACTCTAACCATACATTTCTTTAATACTTTGTTCTCCCATCAGCTATTTGGTACCATAAGACCCTTAAATTCAGATTAATCAGTGGTTGTGTTGGTGCTGAGAGTGAGCTGGGGTGGGGTTGTGGTAAGGAGACTTTAAGTCTCATGGTTCCATCTCATACTCCATCTATTTTGCTCTGGTTCTAAGAATAAAACCACAGTTTCAGGCCCCATCTGCATCATTCCCTTTGCTTACCTTGAGGGAGCGGTGACTGGGATGTGGGTCTGGATTCCAATATTCTCTCTATAATTTCATAACACCACTGAACACCTGCCTTGGCTCCTATTACTATCCAGTAAAGAACAGATGTTTGCTGACTTCATCCCTCCCACTGTCATATGACTGTTCCTAACTCTCATCATTATGAACTCTACTCTGATAACTCCCTGTCTTGCACACTGCTTCCCTACCCCTGCATTTCAGATTATTTTCTGAAGTACGTCACGGAAAGTGGAATTACTGCACTCACAGGTTGAGCATTTTCATGGATCTTAGTGCATGGCACCAAATCACTACGCAAAACGAGTGAACTCATGTATCCTAGGGTCTATAAACAATTTAATTTTACTTTGTCCCTCACTTTTGTGTATTTAAAAGGGAAAATAACACTTCAAATTACTGGTTTCTCATTTGCAGTATGATTTATTTGATAAATTGGTTTCTCATTTGCAGTATAATATTCATTTGATTTATTTTAATATAAGGGGAGGGAATGTTAAACTCTTTATTTTGTTTTATGATTTTCAAATAAACTTAAAAAAACTATTTCTCTATATAGCAACTTATATTTAGATGTTTCTTTTAGAGATTCTTTTGAATAGCCCTAAAGGAAAGGCAAATCATTATTCTTTGAGAGTGTTCCTTAGTCTGAAAGTGATAAAGTCATTTGGAACCACATGTGGCATATGAAATGTTTAATTAAGTTGGATAAAAGTCAAATATAATTATAAAGTAATGACTGATTTCTTTCATGACATAGAAACTATTTTTGAAGGCAATTCTAAAAAAAAAGACATTCAAGATATGTTTCAAGCAACTCTATTGAACTGAAATGTATCACAATTATTCATGAATTTTTTCACTTAGTACTTTTGTAGGAGGAGCCTTGTTATTTTCTACCAAAGTCACATTGCCTCAGGAAATATCTGAATTATTTTACATACCTAGAATGCAGAAAGAGAGGCAAGTTTTGACTTCAAAAAATTTGAAACAGAAGTCCACTATAATGTTTCCTTTGGAGATAAATTACATTTCAAATTTCTTTCATCCATTTTTAAAAAATTTTAATTGCTAGTGTGTGTGCTCACCAGGGAGAAACAGAGAGAGAGGGAGAGTAAGAACTTCCTAATAGATTGTGCTTGGGAAGTGCGCCAAACTTCCCTCTCCATTTCTCCATCCTGTTGAGATTTTGGGCACATCTGCACGTGTGTCCTGCATATTTTCAAGTCACCAGACTTGGGATTTAAACAGTGGTCAGTCATGTTAGATCTGACGCCCCTAACTAAGCCGAGGGCCAGCCTGGAATTTTCAACTTCGAATTCCCCAGTTCCTTCTCTATTATATCAAAAACAAACTTGGAAGTCTAGGCATAGTATTTTTACTATGTGATGAGAGTATAGGATATGACATGAGGGGAGCTGCAGTCAGAGGGACAGTACGAAGTCTTCTTTGTCTTCAAAGAAGACAAAGAGAGAAAGAGTAAGACAAAGAGAGAAAGAATACAACAAAGAGTTAGTATGTGTGTCCTGGTTTCACTTCTCGTAGACATAAAGGTGCAGGGAGCACACGTCTTCTCAAGAAAACTGACAAATCTCATAAAGAACTCTACGTTCAAAATGACACTGGAGCAAGAGGGTGCCGATGCTCTAGACGAGATGTAGAAAGATGTCCAGTGCTTGAGCCTGAGATAGTGTTTGACTATATCTGTCTTAAGTCATGGTGTGATGGTGTCACAGGCTTCAGTGAGCAGTCAGAAACTTGGTGTCTGGACAAGTAGACCTAAGAGGCATTCTTGGAGTTGGAAACAAACACAGTGAACCTTGGAACACAGCGTCAACTTACAACAATGTTCTCCCAAGAGGTTGAAGATTTCACCACACTGGTGGACGCCAGTACAGAGCCCCACTAGAGACCAGTGATCTTCAAAGAAAAGCATGGAACTAGATATCTCCCCATCCTGCAGCCAGGACATGATGCACACTTCCTCTTGTGAACAGATAATATTACATGAGTTTCCTAACATTTTGGTTCTGCATGTTTAGATCCAACTAGTCTAATATTATTGCAGTAAGTATATTTTTCTCAAAATGAGTACTGTGGATGTGACCCCTCTCATTCAGACCTATATGTATTATGACATGTGTTAAAATGACTCTTACTCTAAGGTGCCTATACCTGGATGGTGTTTGTGTGCTTTACTCACCTGATTCTCTTTCAGTGTTATCTGCCCCTGTTCCTTACACCCAATGAAGGTTCTAACACATCTAAAAATCTTCTCATTTTTCTGGACTCGCTGGACAAAGTTGGCTGGAAAGAAGCCAATCCTATCTTGAATTTTTCCCTGAAAGGAAAAAACAAGGCGAGCATTCATTATTGGAGCATTCACTCTAATTAGAGTTACCAAGTGAATATTTTTTAAAGAAAGAGAAATACCTACTTTCCACCAGTCTTCATTGGAATCCTCTAAGAGAGTAATCATGTCTCCTGGCCTAAAATGAAAAATAAATGAGTTGGATGGGAAAGTAGAGAAATGAGAGGAGAGAGAGAGAGAGAGAGAGAGAGAGAGAGATAGAGAGATAGAGAGAGAGAGAGAAAGGTAATACTTTGAAATTAGAAATAATCATTTTTCATTTATATAATCCTTAAAATAGAAATGCAATAAACATGACTTTTACCAGCTCTTCCCCACCCAAGAAAATAGCTTTGTTATACATTGAAAGCAAGTATAGTTTCTGTATTTTAAAAGGCAATCCTCCCTGTATTTTTATACATAAAACATCACATACTGTAAAACCCTCCAAAATATAGAAGTTGATAAGTTTGAAGGTGCAGGCTCTCCTTCCTATTCTGCCCACAGTCTTTCTCCCTTCTAGACCCTTTCCATGTACTTCCATTCATACACACATATATACTTGTATTTTGTTGTTGTTTAGTGTTGACTTTTGGAATTAAGTATCATCTTTTTCATGATCTGCATCTTCTCAGCTTTCTTGAAACCTAGCACACTTTTCCTTAGCTCCACTTTCCCTGTTTGCCATTTTTTTTCTCTTTTTCTATATGTATGGAGTGGGAAGAAGGGAAATGGAGGAGGGGGGCAGAGAAAGAGAGAGAGAGAGAGAGAGGAGAGAGAGAGAGAGAGAGAGAGAGAGAGAGAGAGAGAGAGAGAGAGAGAGAGGGAGAGAGAGAGAGAGAGAGAGAGAGAGAGAGAGAGAGAGAGATATGAAAGAGGTTTTATTTATTTTGAGAGAGATTTTGCTATAGGGCATGTACATTTGCCAGAGAACTAAAGAGACAGTGAGACAGAAAGCAAGTAATCATCCCCCGAGGGGATGGCTATGCTGCAATCCCCTCTCCTCAAGCCTCTTCTCAGGATCATGGGCATGCATACACATATACCTGGCATGAGTTTTACATTGCCAGCTCTGGGACTCGAACTATGGTCAACTATGTGACAGTCTAACAACATAATATTATGCCATCTAACAATCCCGAGAGAGGTATTTTTGACAGGATCTTGTTATATGTGATCCTCCTGTCCTGGTCTCCCAGTCACTGGGACCACAGGGGCATATCACCTTGCCCAGCCTGTTCAGCTTGGGCTAGGAACTGCCCATGGACCTCCCAGTCACTCTTAGCCATCGTGCAGGGGTACCCTCTCACTTGCGCCCCATGGCTGGTTTGTCTACTATCTTTTATGTTGGTATAATTTGAAATTTTATTGTAGATGTGTGTGTGTGTGCACGTTTACATCACTCATTAAGAATTACGTGGGTATAGACGAAGACTCACCTGTTCATGTTTTGTGGTGTTGTTACGGATGTAGTGACTGTAGCATTTGTCACTTTTTCTTTGATTTTCACACCCAGATGTGTGTGTGTGTGCGTGCGCACTTTGACTCCTGATAATCCACACTTATTGTAGCTTACATAATCTGAAGACTCTTAATTTATATGTTGGGACAATTTCCTCGACTATTTCTTTCACTGTTTCCTCCATTTTCTCCCTTCTTTCCTTTTAGAACTTCTAGTCAATATATGTGAGACCTTTGGACTCCATCTTCCAACCCTTTCATCTTTCCTAGACATTTCCCAATTTGTCTCTACTGTGTCCTTAAACATTTTTCCAATTTTATCTCCCAATTGTTTATTTTGTATTTGGGGTTGTGTCTTCTATTATTTGTTTATTATTGTTATAATTTTTGCTAGAGGATGTGTGTGCTCATCGGAGAGGCAGAGAGACAAGGATAGAGGGAGAGGAGAAAGCATCCCCCCATGACCAACAGACATGCCTAAACCCCTCCTCCTCCATCTCTCCCTCCTTTTGGCATTTTGGGCACACATGTACAGGCACTTGGTGTGTTTCTCAAGCTGCTGCGTCAAGGACTCGGATGGCACGGCTTTCCGTGTGGGATCCAGTTACCTTAACTGCCAGGCCATGGAGCCAGTCCAGTCTTCTATCATTTATTATAAGACTAAGAGTTGTTTTAAGAAAAAAAAAAATACTTTTAAGTGTTTTTTTTCTGAAAGAATGTTTTAGTTTTTTTAAAGAAAAGTTTGCTGATAGAAAGTAAGAGAGAAACAGTCAACCTCAAGAGAGTTTCAAGCGATGATCTTCCCTGCAGCCTTCCCAGTCATCCAGGATCATATACGTCTGATGTGTACTCACTGACCTGGGACCTGAACCCTGATCTTCCATATGGCTGACTGCCATTGTGCTATTGTCACATCCTGATGATTGGGCCTCTTTCTCTTTCTTCTTTCTTCCTCCCTCTTTTCTTTCTTTTCTTTTCCTTTTTCTTTCTTCCTTCCTTCCTTCTTTCCTTCCTTCCTTCTTTCCTTCCTTCCTTCTTTCCTTCCTTCCTTCTTTCCTTCCTTCCTTCTTTCCTTCCTTCCTTCTTTCCTTCCTTCCTTCTTTCCTTCCTTCCTTCTTTCCTTCCTTCCTTCTTTCCTTCCTTCCTTCTTTCCTTCCTTCCTTCTTTCCTTCCTTCCTTCTTTCCTTCCTTCCTTCCTTTCTCTCTCTCTCTCTTTCTTTCTTTCTTTCACCTTTCTTTCATTTTCTTTCACCTTTCTTTCATTTTCTTTCTTCTTTCTTTCATTTTCTTTCTTCTTTTCTTCTCTTTCTTTCCTTCTTTTCTATCTACTTACCTTTTTTATTCCTCTTTCTTTCTCTCTCTTTCTTTCTTTGACTTTCTCTTTCTTTCCTCTCTCCCTTCCTTTCTTTACCAGAGGCCACACATGAGAGAGAAAGAGAAAGTGAGAAAGAGCACATGCATACCCCTCAACACAGACACACACCAACAGTGGCCATGCTCCATTTCTTTTTCCTTCAAATCTTTGTTCTGTCAGGACCTTGGGCATGTGTGCCAGGCATGTTTTCTAAGCTGTTGGAGCTGGAACTCAAACTTGGCCATGTGGGTTCCAGTTTCCTTGGTAGGCTTAACCACTGTGCTATGGGGCTACCATCTTATTATTTCTTTGTTATTTTCTGAAATGCAATATTATAATGGATCTATTGGAGGATATTACTTTATTTTTAAAAAACAGCATTTCTTTTCTTTATTGAATTACTTGTTTCCTCTAGGATTACTTGGCTATCCTTTATATTATTATTTCTCCTTCATGTCATGAGCTTTTCTCCAACATCTGGTTTTCCTTAGTTGTCTCTTTTTATTGATGACTGAAAATGGAGGTAGATGAGTGTGGACGGTTGGCAGGCTTCTCAGCTGTTACATACACCTGGTCTTCCATGGTCTCTCTGGCAAGAGCGAGGGCTGTTTACAGGCTCTGTTTAAGAAAGCAGGTGTGTTAATTAATGCATCTTACTTTTGGATACTTGAAAGTACAGCAGGCAAGGAGCCTGGTGCCTTTTTCCATTACCCCAGTGGCTGAAACAAGGAAGCTTCCTTAATCCTGGTGAGAGAGAAGTCAGTTCATTTTCCTCCTATGCAGGGTGCCTTTACCTGGTCTTTAGGTCAGGAAGTCCATCATTATCAGGTGTCTGTCCACACAGAAGCCTGCTCAGGCATGGCTTTCTTTTCCTTACAAGTATTGGTTTGATTCTGCAGTCAAATGCCATACTATACCTGGGGCTCTGTATCAGTTATATATCACCACAATGATGCTGTGTAACAAATAGCTACAAAACCCAAACTGTTTACTCACATGCCTGGGAGTTGGGTGACTTTTGATATGGTACTGGGAAGATTGCGCCCTAGTCTATGTTTCTCACACACACACCCCAACAGTGGTCAAGCTACATTTGACCACTAGAAGGCCAGTTTGAACATTCATGGGAATGGGAGAAGCTCAAGCGCAGTAAACAGAAACAGGCAAAACATAAGGTCTGGAAGGTTGAGGCTCAAGACTGACACATTGTAACTTTGGCCTTTGTTTTTTTTTTCTAGAGATTTTTTTTGCTGTAGGGCATGTGTGCTCTCTGTTGTGAGACATAAAGTGAGAAATCATCCCCTGGGTGGGGGGATGGCCACACCACAAACCACAATCCCTTCTCCTCCATTCTTCTTTTGGGTTTTTGGGCACACACATACATATGGCCAGCGTGTTTTAAGTTGCCAGATCTGGCACTTGAACTATGTGGGAATCCAGCGACGCAACCATTACGCCATCTGGTGGTTGCACTTTTGCCTCATTTTATTGGCCAAAGGAAGTAGCAAGGCCAGTCCAGACTCAGGGACTGGAGTAATAGGTTCTATCTCTGTAGTGAGAAGAACTACCAAGTCTCAAGTCCAGGGAGAGGTGAAGAATCAGGGTTATTAATGCAATCATCACTGCCATGCGCTTGAGTGAATTTGCTGTGTCTTCAGTGTCCCTTTGTGTTCCCACATCAAGAGATTTTTTTTCCCTGAGCATTCTTTGGTTTTTGGTCATCTTCATTGTTGTTGTTTTTTGTTTTTTGTTTTTTTTTTTTTTTTGAGAGGCTTTTGCTATAGGGCGCATGTGCTCACCAGAGAGACAGAGAGACAGAAAGTGAGAAATCACTCCCTAGGGGGGATGGCCACACCACAATCCCTTCTCCACCATTCTCCTCTCAGGATCTTGGGCATGCACGCACACGCACCCGGAGTGTGTTTAAGCCACTGGGTCAAGGACTTGAACTGTGGTTGACTACATGGGAGTCCAGCAACATAGCCATTACACCAACTGCTGGACCCCATCTTCATTGTTCTTGACTCAACTGCTTTTGCTGTAGTCTGTCTGGAGATTCCTAAGATATCTTTGTCTCTCCCAGTATTCTTTCTTGTTTTCTTGTGCTGTTATGGATGTATGTTTAAAAAACCTGCTGTTTCTGACATTTTTAGAAATTGGAGTTAGGAAGTAGATTTGTGTGCTCATTTTCCCATTCTGATTCGATCTCTTCTGCTGTCATTTTCAATTCTCAGTTAATATTCATCTTTGTTGGAGATTCCAAGTAGAACAGGCTTGTTACACCTGAAGTATTAAACACAACTGGCATTTGGGTATTTCAACAG